TAGATCCCGATGAAGTGAAATGGATATTGAGGATTCAGTTAGTTAAGTGTTCTACAGTCACAAAAGCTTGCACAGCAGGCACCATCTGTGGCTTTGCTCCTCATTAGCCTAATACAAATAAGATAGAATTGCTTTTATATGGTTCAAGTTTTGGCTTCTATAGAACATGCAATCTGCACCATCTGTGGCTGTGCTCCTCATTTGACTAATACAAATAAGATAGAATTGCTTTTACATGGTTCAAGTTTTGGCTTCTAGTGAAATGGATATTGAGGATTCAGTCAATGTGGAATCTGCAATCTGCAATCTGCAGATTTGTTGTTAATATTTTCTGTAACTGCTGCTGCATTCTGTAAAATATCCATGTTGTTAGCATAACTGCTGCTGCAATCTGTAACTTTTGTTAATGTTTTCACTATGCCTTTTGTGCTTCTATATAGCATTATTTCCGTCAGTAAAGCATGCTTCCATAACTACAAACAAATACACAAATAATTATAGGAGAATCTAATTGTTTGTGTCTCCTCATTAATTCCTTTTCTCTATAACTGTTGGATTTCATTGTTGCAATTTGAAAGTCTTACCTCTTCTATATAACTGCCAATATCTTATTTGTGTAGGGAAATGGAGGTGATCAAATTTGAAGTGGATGATGAAGAGTTTTTGTACTATTGTAAAAGTTTAAATACATATTTGATTTATGTGTATACATTTAGAATATTGATGTATAAGTATGGGTATGTGTACACAACACATACTATCTTTTGAAGTACTTTATGGGAAATCTATAAATTTGAATTACTTATTAGCGCTAGAGATTATTTATTGCAATATAATATTGAAGTATTTTAATTAGAAATTGTGGCACAGGACTGTAAATTGTGTATGCACTTGAGCAAGGACAACACTTCAAAGTGTTGTCATACGTTAGATAGAAAAGGCAACACTTGATAAGTGTGGGCAATATGGTAGCAAAGGCCACGCTTCAAAGTGTAGCTTATAAAGCAACACTTATAAACGTAGCAGCAGAAGCGTGACTTTTTCTCTTTTAGGCTACGCTTGTAAGTGTAGCTGATAAGGCAACACTTCTAAGCGTAGCTACAAAGTGTGGCCTTTTTGACTTTGAGGCTACGCTTAAAAGTGTTGCTCATATGGCAATACTTCTAAGCGTAGGTAAAAAGCGTGGCCTTTTTTCCTTTTGGCTACGCTTTTAAGCGTAGTTGATAAGGCTACGCTTGTAAAGCGTCGCCTAAACTCTAAGGTTTCGCTGCTTTCGGCCACACCTGGAAAAGTGTGGCTTAAAGTAAAAAAGTGTGGCTTTTTACCAAAGGCCACACTTTTTCATAGTTTAGGCCACACTTTTCTAGAGTGGTTGGAGACATAAAATGTTGTAGTGACAGAGAATGTTATCTTGTGTTCCCAATCTAATTTATAACTCAACTCAAAGGTTTACTCCTAAACGTAAAGTTTTGTGGGCAAAAAGACACGTGTAAGAAGAATATCGAACGAGTGTTTCATGCCAAACAACGCAAGTTTTACATAATATTACATGCATTTGAAATCATTTGCTTCGAAATTCTTTTTCTAAGACGTAATAAACAATGAAATACCATGCAATTACGAGAAATCGAACTTGAATAAATAAGAGATACTTTAAGAAAACAAATATGTCAATTCAAATGTTCAGTATAAGAAACGTAACAACATTATGCATACGTATCTTGATCAAGTTTACTTTTTAACTTTCAAGTTTATGCATTCGATTTGAACGATATAATTTTATCAAATGTCTCCTACTTAGAGGAATAATAAGTTGAAATTAACTATGGTTTGGAGTTGGAAAACATAAGAAAAGTTACTTCAAAGTACTCTTTGCTTTTTTTAGTGGTCACAATAAAAATTTGCACAACCTTTAAAAATAAACTATTTAAAAATATAGTTTAACTAAAAATGTACATTTCTTCTTAATTCTTTTATTTTTATCTATTTATGTGTTATAATTCTAAAAATAATTAATGCTAAGGGTGAAATTAAAAAAAATAATAATTAATTCTCAATTGACAATTAGAAATAAATATTTTTAGTTCACATGAGTTCAAAATCTCATATAACAAATTAATGCAACCAATTACCAAAAACAATAATAATCAAGTGTATTAAATTGTGATCCGTTTAATAAATTAACCCGTTTGACCCGCCCCATGTAAGACGTTAAGTGGCCCAAATCCGAAGTTTAAATCTTGCCAAAACCCTCCTCGACGCCGTCATCTCCGGTTCTCCTTTAATTCTCGCCGGCCGTTCATATTTTGCTCACCGGCGGGACACTTCCATCAATAAGCGATTGCAAAAGGTATGGGAAAGCATGCACCTAAGTCACGGAAAGTTAAAATACAGAATCGGTTATCAGAGGTTCATGAAATTGAGCTTCTGGAGGAATGGATAGAATCAGGTAAACCGGAATCCGGTTCAAATCCGTTGTCGCTTGAGCCATTACCACATAAAGCTCCGGTTGGACGTCTTCCGGATGGTTCATTCTCTAGGTATGCTGGTTGTGATAGGTTCAGTCAGTTGCCGGTTTCTAAGAAAACTAAAGATGGGTTAACTCAGTGCAAATACAAAACTATGACCGATATTCAAAGGGCTTCTCTGCCACACTCTCTTTGCGGCCGTGATATTCTTGGTGCGGCGAAAACTGGTTCTGGAAAGACTTTGGCTTTTGTTATTCCGGTACGTCTTGAGTTAATAATCGAAAACACAGCTAAAGTATCCATTTTTCTGAGTTTCATAGCTGAACTATCAGGTTCCCTAGCTGAATTATAAACAACTGTTTGTCAAAACACAACTCATCATCCCACCATCATTGATAGTTGATGCTTGTTATGATAAAAAGCTGGTGATATTTGTTGTGCAGTTATTCAGTTGGGTTATGGTAAGAATGTTGGCTTCACATTCTCTTATGTGTTTGCTGCTTCGATATTCAATTTGTTAATTGAAATGTTGCTTCCATAGTTCCATCGTTTTTTTTTTTTGCGCTTTGGTGCTTGAATCTCTTCGTTATTTACTAGTGTAGTTTCTTGGTTTTTTACCATTTTAATAAATTCAGTCACTTAATTAGATTTCATTTCTAGGTGCTAGAGAAATTGTATAAAGCTCGATGGGGACCAGAGGACGGTGTTGGATGCATCATAATGTCTCCCACAAGGGAGTTAGCAGGTCAACTTTTTGAAGTACTTAAATCTGTTGGGAAACATCAAGGCTTCAGTGCTGGCCTTCTGATTGGTGGCCGCAAAGATGTTGATGCTGAAAAAGAACATGTTAATGGATTGAACATCCTGGTCTGTACTCCTGGTCGGCTTCTTCAGCATATGGATGAGACACCAAATTTTGATTGTTCACAACTTCAGGTCCAGTTAACAACACTTTCTCCTCTCCTTTCCTAAGGCTCTTTTACCATGTCTTGTCCTTGATAAGAGGCAGGGAGTAAATACTGCATCATCAAGAATTAGTTTCTGATTTGCTCCTACTTTATTAATGTTAGTGTAGACTACCTTCCACGAAAACAATGCTATAGTTTGCTCATCACAGCGTACTAATTATGATTGTATAGCATCTAGGGACAGATTGGCTCCCTCCTTTTTTACCTTGGTGGGGTTTGGACCTGCTTCATTTTCCTTTTCTCTGCTATGTTTAGTGGAAGCATAGCTATTGAAAGGTTGTCTGTTGATGCTACTACAGTTTTTGAAATTATTGTCTTTTATTTATTATTTATTCTATTTCAATTGTTTCTTCAAAGAGACATCCTTTCTTTTGTGAAATCACTTGTCTAACTGTCTTCATCCTCTGCTTTAGAATCATGCATGTTAATTTAGTTGTTGACTTGGGTGCATCTTTCCTGGCCAGGGAACAGGTTTTAGTTCTTGATGAAGCAGATCGTATTCTTGATGTGGGGTTTAAGAGGGATCTAAATGCAATCATTTCACAATTGCCTAAGCATAGGCAGACCTTATTGTTTTCAGCAACCCAGACCAAGTCTGTCCAAGATCTGGCAAGGCTCAGCCTGAAAGACCCTGAATATTTGGGTGTACACGAGGAGTCCGATACTGCGACTCCCAACCGCTTACAACAAACAGCAATGCTTGTTCCTCTTGATAAGAAATTTGACATGTTGTGGAGTTTTATAAAGGCACATCTTAACTCAAGGATATTGGTTTTCCTGTCAAGCTGCAAGCAGGTATCTGAACTTCTTCTTGGGGTTCGGTGAAATTGAGAATTCACACTTCATATTGAACGTCTTATTGTAAGATGACATGAATATTGCACCTAATCTTAGATTGCTGTTGATTTTAGTACCTAACATCAACAAGCACTAATGACCTTTGCTATATCACCTGTTTTCGAAAAGGAAAATTATCTATCTGCTATATTGAATCGGGTTTCAGAGTATTCAACAGCTAAAACTTTTGCTCTTAATTTTCTGGTGATTTGATTTGTTCTGTCATTTTTTACTGTTCCCAATTCAACAGGTAAAATTTGTTTTTGAAACTTTCAAAAAACTCCGTCCTGGGATTCCCCTCAAGTGTCTTCATGGAAGGATGAAGCAAGATAGAAGGATGAGAATTTATTCCCAATTTTGTGAACAACGTTCTGTTCTGTTCTCCACTGATGTTGCTTCGAGGGGACTTGATTTTAATAAGGCGGTTGATTGGGTTGTCCAGGTTAGTTCTTAATGTTTTTAGAATCTAAGGCCTTAAATGAAACTAGTGATTGTTCATCCGTTGAAGGTTGTTGATGCCATTGTAAAGAAACTAGAAAGTTTCACATGTATATGATGCAAACTCACCTTTCAGGTGGATTGTCCTGAAGATTGTGCTTCTTACATACACAGAGTTGGCCGCACTGCTCGTTACCTTTCAGGCGGAAGATCTGTTTTATTCGTGATGCCATCTGAAATGAAGATGCTTGAAAAGTTGGAAGAGAAAAAGATTCCCCTTCGAGTTATCAAGGTAGGAATTCATCCATTTCTGTTTAACAACTTAAGTTGAGGACATAGAAATTATAATTTATCTTTTCCGCAAAACATCTTGTTGTTTTGTTGTCTAATTATCAAGTGTGAAACAGGCAAATGAAAAGAGGATACAGTCTGTCTCGGGTATACTTGCTTCTTTATTGGTCAAGTACCCTGATCTACAACATCTGGCTCAAAGGGCTTTCATAACATATTTGAAGTCCATACACAAACAGAGAGATAAGGAGATTTTTGATGTTACAAAACTTCCTATTGATGAATTCTCTGCTTCATTGGGTCTTCCTATGACCCCAAAGATCCGATTTCTGAAACAGAAACTCAAAGGGAAGACAGTGTCTGAAGCATTATCTCT